GGAGCCCGGCAGGCTGTGCGCGCTCCGGCTGGGCCACGCTCACCCCTTCTTGTCTCAGCGATGCAGGAGCTGAGTGGACACCCCTGGACGATGCTGGGGCCGGGGTGGAGGGTGGAGGTCTGCGCCACTCACTTTCGCAGCCTTCATTGCCTGCCCAGGATGTGGGCGATGTCCTGGCTCTGACCCTGTGTCGGGGAAGTCTCCCAGTGGCATCATTCCCATCCTTGCACTGGCTGCATCCCTGCAGCCACACAGCTGAGCATGCTTACCACGCCAGTCCTGCTGGAAAGTGACCCAGGAGACAGACACAGGAGTTGGCATCCCCAGCTGCAGACACATGGATGTGACCCAGAGGCTCCGGTACCCCCATGGCCACCTGTGGGACAGCACTGACCTGGCTGTGTCTTGGTGGAAGGCAGCATGGTGCAGAGCCAGAGCCCAGTGCTGGTGGCAGGCAGTGGAATAGCAGGGCAGGGGCCCTACACACAGACTGTCTGGGGGGCACATGACCCCCTGCCAAGGCCTGGGCTGAGCCCTCATGCCATGAACAAACGTCCATGGCCATCTGTGGCAGCTGTGTGGGACAGCACTGACCTGGCTGTGTCTTGGTGGAAGGCAGCATGGTGCAGAGCCAGAGCCCAGTGCTGGTGGCAGGCAGTGGAATAGCAGGGCAGGGGCCCTACACACAGACTGTCTGGGGGGCACATGACCCCCTGCCAAGGCCTGGGCTGAGCCCTCATGCCATGAACAAACGTCCATGGCCATCTGTGGCAGCTGGGGGGGACGGGCCAAGCCAAGGCCTGGGCTGAGCCCTCATGCCATGAACAAACGTCCATGGCCATCTGTGGCAGCTGTGGGGGACACCCACCATGCCATGTGGCTTCCTTGATGTGTCCCCATCATGTCCAGCTGGCAGGAGCAACAACAGGCAGAGCTGTGGGATGGGGGAAATTCTGGCTACCATGGTGGTCCCTCCTCCGTGGCAGCCTGGGCTCCAGTCATGCCTGTGGCTCCAGGAGCTGCAGGGCGGCCTCTGCCCCTGTGCCAGAGCCAACAGGTCTCAGCCATGTCCCTTTGCCTTTCAGAGAAGCCTGGCACCTGTCCACCTGTCAACCCAGGCATCCCCATGCTGGGTGTCTGCACCAACCAGTGCAAGACTGACTCCAACTGCTCCGGGAACCAGAAGTGTTGCAGGAACGGCTGTGGCAAGGTCTCCTGCGTGACGCCCCTCCACTGAGGTCAGTTGGGTGCATGCCAGCCCCAGGAATCCCACAGCACTGCTGCATGGCACCCATGTGCCCATCCCACTCATGGTCTCTGCTCCTTTGCAGGTGCAGCCACCTCCTGCCAGCCCAGCCACAGGGAAGCTGCTGCCTGACGCCCATCCCGCACACCCTGGTCCTGCACCTTTCCCCCCAGCTTGGAGCCTTCAAGCCTCCGCTTCCTCCCTGGGGTCCCCTGCCCAGGGCACACCACAGCCCCCTGCTCTCTCACCAATAAAGCAGCTTCTCCCTGCCACACCATGGCTGTCTCTCCATCCTGCGCCGTGGCCACCTCTCCATCCTATGCCATGGCTACCTCTACATCCCACACCAGGGATGCTTGGAAGGGCTCCACACAAGAGTCAGCATTGACTGGCTGCATCATTTCTCCAAGAGCCCCCAGCCTGTACCCTGCCTGGGGCTGTCCCATGCCCCTGGCTGTCCAGGCACACTGGCTCCTCCACCTCTGCACAGTCATATTAAGAGCAGGGCCATCAAGGTGCAGCCATGTCCATGTCCTATCAGAGCAGAGGCTCTCTGCTCCATGCTCTGCAATGGCTGGGGGGCAAACAGGCTGTAGAGTGTGCCCTTACACGAGTATCACCCAAACCCCTCCTTGCCATGCACACTCCCAGCCTGGCAGTGGCACGCTGCCCATGGCCAAAGCCTGAAGAAGCTGTGGGCAGCCCACATCTCTCTGCCCCATGCCTTCCTGGCACCTCCTGCTCCCCACAGGGCTCTGGGGGCCCTGCCCCTTCTGCACCTGCCCCACTCCTGCTCCCACCCCATGGGACAAGAGCAATCATCCCACCTGCCTGAAAGGGGCTGGCACCCCCAGAGCGCCCCCACCAGGACTAGTAAGCCCCGCACCCTACCCAGCACTGCCCAGTGCCGAGTGCCTGGTGCTGGTTCCCCCTGTCCCAGTGGTGCAGGCGCAGGTTGGTGTACCCTGGCACAGTGCCACAGCTCAACAGCTCTCCCCATTCCATGTGTCCCCACAGGGACCGGGTGGACACCGAAGAGCGGGAACAGGACACTGCCCCTGTGTCCCACCC